CGTCATGATAACTCACAGAGAAAAAAATGTGACAATGAGTGTGTATATGTCCATGGATGACTGAAAAATTGTGCTGAACACTGGAATTTGACACACTATTGTAAAATGATTATAAATCAATAAAAAATGTTAAAAAAACCAAAAAACAAAAAACAAAGTAAAGGCCTAAAGGTTTGGGTACTATGTTTATCACAAGAGCCCTTCATACTTTCTTTTATGCATCTTAATTCCAACAAACTTGTTTATCTGATGTCCCAATAGCACTGGGAGTACAAATATACTGAAATCAGGGCAAAGTCACAGGTCTGGCCTAACAGTAGGGGGAAAAAAGACAAAAACTAAAATATAAAACAGACATAAACATTCACAAATCAGTCCAGGGGAAGTTATGGCAGACACATCCATAAACAACTCAATATATTTCCTTAAAGTATGATAACTGATACTCACTATAACAACTCTTAGTTAAAGTGTTCAAGTGAGGTCCCTTTGAACAAAGACCGGTTGGTTGAGGAAGGGTGAAAAGTTCCTAATGCATTTGAGAAAAAAAAGAAAAAGGTCACAAATGTTTATAATAAAAAGTTAGAATGCTTAAAGGGAGTATCCTCAGCTACCCAGAGCAACTCACGCCTACAAGTTCCACAGAGTTGGAGTTTTACTATATTGAAAAGGATTTTATGGTTGGCTACATCGACCAATACAAATCTGGAAGACAATCTAGAAGGAAATGATTAATGACTGCTGCTTTCCAAGGAAGTTTAAAAATAAGTAAGCATAGGCATATCAGAATCAGTGTTAATGCAGCAATTGCTACTAAACGCAGCTAAATTGTGGATGTTATTTTGGCTTTAATCCATATTCTGTGCAGGATTTAGGTCCCTTGTAGATAGTTGGGACCCATTAGCTATTAGAGTAAAGTTAGTACCCCATTCCAACACACTGGACACATTGTGAACTGAAGAAATATTTAGCCTGCTTCCTTCACACTTGCCTCATGTGCTTCTGACTTCAAAAGTGGGGCTAAAAAGACAAGGAAGAAACTGATTACGTTTGTATCTGTGAAACACAGATTATGCAAACTGCCAGCACTCCATTGTTTTTGTTTTCAGAGTCATTATCACAAAACAAAACCAAAAAGATAACTTCCACAACTGAAGCCTGATTATTTGAAAACAGACCCTGAATATTTCCTCCTCTTTCAATAAGGCGGTAAATGCCCTTCATTTTACTTATCTATAAGGTATTTATCGGCTGATATGGACTAGTTACTATTTCTATATGAGAGCTTGACAGAGTCTATCTGAGGAAGCTGTTTCCTGAGTTACTCTAGAAACCTGTCACTGCCTTAACATTTGCCCCAAATCCAAGAAAGCGTTTTAAAAAAAAAAATCCTCACCTTCCACACATCACCAGGGCTAACAGGAGAAAAACATAATCACAACCCTAAATTCATGGCCCTTTCAAACTCTGACCTCTCCAAGCATTTATTTGTCTTTTGTTCCTTTTCCTTTTAAACAATCTCACTGGTTGCCTTTTCCTGATTACAAAAGTAATACATGGTCATCATCACAGCTTGAACAACACAAAGATACATGAAATAAAATTAATAATCTCTCTCCCACCCTTTCACTCCCCTCCAAGGAAACCAGTTTTAAGAGCTTAGAGTATATTCTTTCTTACTCTTTCCGAGGCTTACACAAACATATATAATATATGGGTTTTTGGAGGATTTTGTTATTGTTTTCAAACAAAAACAGGATATTATATATACTATTGTGCACCTTGCTTTTCAGCCTTAAAAATATGCTATGGACACTTTTCAAGCCAATATATACAGATCCACCACAATCTTTTTAATGGCTGCAAAATATTCCATAAGATGGATAATTTACTCATACCACTGCCCCACTTTTCCCAACTCATGGACATTTAGCACGGATCTTTGTATATATATCTCATGTCTTCTAATTTCAGTAACACAGTTTCCTAGAAGTGGAATTTCTTGGTCAAATGAAACATTTTCAAATGTTTAAAATTTTATCCTTAAACAAAATTAATTTTAGACCTTCAGAATGTCTGCTCCCTTCTTCATTATGCAAAATTTGGTATAAGCTTTTCACAGAGCTTTGCATATTTTATTTTTTAAAGCACACACATTATGTCAAAAAACGCCCCTGTCATTTATGCTCACGTAGTTATAAATAAATAAATGCTTAAGTTATGGCTGTGATGGCCAGCGTTAAATCACTGTGCAAATGTTTATGCCTTGGTTTATGAAAGTAGTAATTCATTGTGGAAACTCCACCCCCACGGCCTGTGGCAGCACTAAAGTGGCAGATCTCTCACCCTGTGACTCCCTCCACTGCTTGACGATATAGAGATCAAGACCTATATATTTTCTCATTGTCAACAGTTACCCTTAAAAAGTGTGTGTGTAGGGGGGAGACAAACAGCAACAGATGATAAATTGATAGTCATTATGGGTTTCTAATATCTACAAATTATTTGTAGTACAATGAATAATTCTGCTGGTCTACACCAGAGAATGTGTTCCATAATAAACAAAACCTACAACCAATATGTTGCTATGATTACATGAACCTTTCAAAAGCACATTCTTCTAACATTTTTCAATAGAATTATTAGTTGAATCCCACTTTCACAATTTTTTCTCTACTTCAGATGCAGACTCTAATTGTAAACTTAAAAAAAAAGCCTTAAAGAAATACATTAACCAATGAAGCTCCTTAAAATGTAATCTCAGACTCCTCTGTACATTCTAAAGACCTGAGCACCAACGAACAGAGATTGTTAAGACACAGCAAGTTTGATACAGAAGTATGTGACATGCAATTAATCTCCATTCATACCCTGCTCTACTTGTCAGCAAACAAAGGTTCTGCTTTAGGAGGAGATCTGAAGACTTCAATTAAAAAGAGTCAGCTAACAAGAAAATAATCTAAGCTAAAGGAAGGTGGCAGGTGCAGAAATGAGTTGTTTACCAAAGTGTCAGTTTTAAACAATAAAGAACTGCACATCAAAAATGCTGAAGAAGTGGATTTCATTGCAAGCCTCTGAAAATGAAAAGGAACTTTCTACCAAGGCTACACACAAAACGGAAATACAGTTTAACGAATTTGTAAAATAGGTTTCCTCTCAACAAATGACAGATACCAATAAAAGGAATCAGTTTATACCTTTAACTGCAAGGGGAAAATGAAACTTTTTGCCACAGTTCCTTTTCTCCTAGAAACCACTTAGAGCCTCTCTTTACACTTCAAATTATTGAACCAACAGCAGAGGGGAAAGGCTGGGTTGCTGCTTCTTAGAAACCCAGATGATGCTCTTTTACCCTGCAAATACTTTTCTATTCTGAAAGTTTAGATTCACTCAGGTCATATGTAAAATGGGTTTTGGAAACTTCACCTCAGAAGAAATACCTAGTTGACAGCTTTTACATAGAAGCAACCCAGAATGGAAACAGTCCTACAAACAGAGACCAAATGGACTTGCCAAATATTTGATTATGAAGCATTTATACCACGATAACAAGGTAATGGAGATATAAAACCAATTAAATTGAGAGAAACTGGAAAAAAAATTACTGCTTGCCAAAAATATGACCTGCCCAAAGCAGGCCATCTGTTAAATATGTGTCAAAACTGTCACATGGATGCCAAAAGGCTTAATTCTGAGCAGTTTCCTCTTGGGACCCTTATGCAAGCACAGATTCCAGGTCCCCATCCTTCCAGAAAGGTCAGTTACAGGAAAAGCAAGTTACTCTCAGCAGAAAAAGTGTGAGTGGAGCAGATGACACTGCCCATTAGCAAAACGTGTCTCTCGAGTGTTACAGCAGAGAGTGTTGAGTGTTGGTGAGTACGGCTTTAACTCTTACAAGGACTGCGAGGGCACTACAGTTTGAGGGTGAACACACAGCAGTGGGGCGCTTCTGGAAAGGGAAGGGATGTAATACTGGGATCAGCCGGCCCCGGGTGCACGAGTGGCCCCGGTGAGTCCGCAGGCGGGTGAAGCGGGCCTGGGGTCTGGGTGCTGAGTCCACGCCCAGACCTTGGCTGGCGGGAGCCCGGGAGCCCTCACTGCCCCTCGAGGTCCGGGATGGCTAAGCAGGAAGGTCCAGGTCCCCTCGTGAGCGGGACAGACGGAGCCTGGGCTGGGGAGGGACGGGCGCGAAACCCACGGACGCGAGGCGTCCCGAGGAGACAGGCACAGGGTGAAGGCCAGCACGGAGGCCAGGCGACCAAGAACCTGGCCCGAACTTGCTCAGAAGCCTGGAGGTTAAGTGGGAAGTGAAGGCGCCCTGAGGAAAAAGAAAACGTGGGAAATGAGGAGAGTGAGAGGGACCCTGAGCCGGAGGATGAACCGCTGGCTCTCCAGAGTCAGGGCTCCGGCAGCCTCAAGGTTCTAGAAGGTGGCGGGCGAGGGAGCTGACGGGGAAGGCCGGCCTTGGGAGCCGCTGGCGTCTCGGCTGCTGCCGGCTCGGCACGTGCGACTCCCGGTGGGGTCGGCGGCGCCCGGGCCGGCGGAGCGTTACCTTCCAGGAGCCAACGGATCTCCTCGGGGAGGGCGGCGGCGGCCTGCATGTGGCGGGCGGCGGGCGGCCGGCGGCCGGGCGGGCGGCGGGC